ATTTTCTAATATCTGCAATACTTTTGTCAGTGTGATATTTTACACCACTTCGTCCTCGCTCTTAGCAAAAATTATTTCTCTACTTTTGCCTATTTATAACACTTGAAAGTATTCATTTTCTTCCTGAAGTTGGCATGTTTGTGAAAAAAAAACGTAGTGTTTTGGTCCCCATATCTCGACCAATTTACCCTCGAACGCTGCTGCCAATAAATTTCTTCCTGTCTCATCCATTTCGTCGGCAACAACCTGTCTAGACCTCCTCAGTGGCTGGCTGCAAGTGCAGATTTTCAAGACTCGTCCGTGCATCCTGAACTTTCTTCTTCACATTCCCAAATTTTTCTATCGACCATCCTCTCAAAAGACAAAAGCCTTGCACATTTAGAATAAAGAAATTAGGTTCACATCCCTCTTTTTGCCACTCTATTGATTAAAACCTTATTCATTTTCAATTTTTTATCAAGGTCATTAGGTATTAATAAACGTCATTAATTATTTCGATAATAAAATATTTTTTATTTCTAAATATATTCATTTAGTGTTAGAGTGCGATGGCAAGTGCCTTCGCCCATGAGCGGTAGGTCTCGGGTTCGAGACTTGGGAGCAGCCTCTCCATAAATGGGGGTAAGGCTAGCCGACATTCACCTCTCCCAGACCCTGCGTAAAGCGGGAGCCTTGTGCACTGGGTACGACCTTTTAGTGTTAGAGATGTTAAATTTGGGCTATGGAATCATTGGCTACCTTGCCACTTGAGCTTTGGAGTGAATTGAGCGAGTCAACTAAGTCTGGTATCATTCTGGTTTTCTACACAAACTGGGCAGCAGAAAAAAAAGATTGGAATCATCAGGTACTTCTCGAGTACAAGCCTATTTTCGGGGCGGAATGAAGTTGTTAAGTTCCTCATTCTATTGGGCCTATTCCATTTAGTATGGTTATCCCATTCACATATTTCGGGTTGTAGATTGCTCAGGCTCTATGTATTTAGTCTCTTTTACTCTTTTGGAGGATTATGAATGAAAATAAATGTTTTAGTTCATCTCCTTTCCCCTTTTCTCTGTACTTCTCCCTCTTTTCTTCCTTTACGATCATTGATCCCATAACATTCGCATTGGAGTGTACTGCAATCAACACTCCAATCCGATTTTTCAATCGATATATTCATCATGCTTTCTTTTCCTCCTCAAATTACGTTCTTGATGAAATTGAAGATTCAATCCGCGACTGTGAAGTGTACATCGATGGCAAGATTGACAGTATATGAGTATTATCAGCAGAAGTGGGCAGAGGCAGATAGACAGATTCAACAACAGAAAGTGAAAATTTTATAACCTTTGAGGTTTATTTGTAACATCGAATTTGAGACAACTAGAACAATATAAGTCTCATCCCATGAACCAAATGATCGTGCAATTAAATTACAGTATTGATTAACATATGAACAACAAAGAATAAATCATAAAGACAGTAAACTGACCTGCAGACATATTCGTCGATGTAGAAGCCATCTTTACAATCGCACCAAACCTTCTCTTCTCTGCAAAACTCAATGCTCTCCCAAGAATAGGTTATTGGTTCAAAAGTGAGAGTGTTATTTGTGAGAACAGTGGCTTGTGCTTATATTACAATCCAATAAGGAATACCATTCCTCATACCAGAATGAATTCTATACTTGTGCAAATACAAGAGTTCTCAATATCCCAATCACAACAGGATTTACTCTAGCCGACATGACTAAGACTTCTTTATGATAATATTGATTATCACAAGACATGAAAGAATCATACTCATACTCTAACATTATTTACATAAAATCCAATACAATTGCACCTCCAGTACTCCAACTAGCAAGTAGGTAAATCTGTTCCTTAACAAGTTACTGCCTTCATTTTTGCCAAACTTACGTTCACATCCATAGGCAAGGAACATGAGAAAGATTAATACGTACATAAGTTTTGGTACCTTATTTTATTCATAGGTATAGAAGTACATAACTTTAGGTACTTTATTTTACTCATAGGTATAGAAGTACCGGTACGTAAGTTTCGGTACAAATGTATTACATAACTTTCGGTACGATTGTATCGATACAAATGTGTTGTTACAAATGTATCGATAAGTAATTATAGTATCTAAACATACATATGTATGTAATATGCATATATAGAAGTATGGAGAAATTTACATACAATAAAAAAAATATGATAATACATGATAAATAACATTTTTACTAGGGGATTATAAATTTTAGGGCTTCAATAAGATTGTTTTTAGATTTTAACCTGAATGGTTTTCAAAATCTAATATAAGTTCTTATTTTTAAAACTTACCATATAAGTAATTATAACACATTTGTTATTTTTGTTACCGTTCGAAATTCTTTACCCATCCATAATAAATGTATTTTTTTTTGTGCTCCAATCATATTAATAGATAAAAATTTAATAAAAAAAATTCTTATTATTACAAAATTCAACAACAAAAAATAATAATTTATACATAACTTTTGGTACCTTATTTTATTCATAGGTACGGAAGTATTGATACATAAGTTTCGGTACAAAAGTTTCAGTACATAAGTTTAGGTACTTTATTTTACTCATAGGTATAGAAGTATCGGTACAAATGTATCCGGACATAACTTTCGGTACCTTATTTTACCCACATGATTCTCTCGGGAAGTACGCATGCAGAGCTCCGATGTAGGTGTTCACACCACCACCTTTCACAGGGAAGTGCGTTTTGTTGCGGCTCGGGGCTTCACACCACCGCCTCCAATGGAATTTCTTCAACGACTCTATTGCCTTTGATGGCTTTGTTGCTGATGGGTTCACTCACCAGCTTTCTTTGGCTTGTGATTATTAAGGGTACAAATGTAATACAGTTAGTAATATAGTTAGGTAGTTAGTATTTGGTTAAAGTAGTTAGGATTTCTTTATAAATAGTATGTGTAACCTTCATTTCAGTAAGTCAATACAAAAACCTATTTCTCTCTAAACTCTTTCTCTAAAATCTCTCTTGCTTCTCTCTGTCCTCTTCCTCTGTACCAATCTTTTATCTTTGCAATGTAGTTAATATGGTATCAGAGCCACCAAGGCTCACGCCATGGATCTTGGTGGTCGATTCTTTTTTCTATCTTTCTTCATTACTTTCTTTCGTTTTCGTGTATTTGATCGTTTATGCTTCCGTATTCATAGTTTTTTTTTTTTTTTACTTTTGGGTCTCTGGATTTTTCCTCTCCTCTTCCTTCACCTTCAGAATACCTTCTTCATCTCGACGGCGACGACGAGAAGCACAGCCGCCCGATCATCAGCAGTGAGCAACTCGATCCTGGCATCGGCCTCACACTGCTCGACAATCTTGGAGTGTTCCTCAGAATTTAGGTCTCCAACACCGAGAAACCACTCGTCTTCTACGATAATCTTGCTAAGAAAGTCGGCAAGTAAGTACCTTAAGTCATGTTCACAAGGTGTTCGAAGAAAAGTCTGAGAGAAAAAGTGTGGTACTCGAATCTGTTTCTTGACGGACCGATTTCGATTCACGGTGTTCTTGGCCCGTAGCTTTGGATCTGAGAGATGTTAATCAGGGTTGGGCTACAAAGGTGTTCGACGGATTGTTCGTGAGTTGCGTTCAAAGATTTGATTCGTATCAAGTGATATTGTTCATATATCTCATACGCTTGGGTTGTGCACAATATATTCCGATAAGGTTTTTCTGGATCTAGTATTCCTGATTTGAGGTGATATATGCTACATTCTTGGATTTGTAGATTTTGGATTATGGTTTCTTCTTGGTGTTGTTTGCATATCAGCTCTCTGTGCTTCTCTGGTGTTATTTGATCCATGTTCTGTTCTCTGTTCCACTACTTTGATGATCTGGTGAAGCTGCCAATTCCCTGCAAAAGTGTATGTTTCTTTGATTTTGTGAAGTAGTCGATTGATTTCTTTGAGGCACGAAGCCATTTCAAGTTTGTTTCTTTGGGCACAAAGCCATTACTGTTTGTTTGCGGCACGAAGCCATGTTTTCTGTATAGATTAGTTGATTGAAGTTTGCGGCACGAAGCCATGTTTTTTGTATAGATTAGTTGATTGAAGTTTGTGGGCACGAAGCCATGTTTTTTGTAAAGATTAGATGATTAGATTTGTAGATGTTGAAAGGCTTGGTTTGCAGGGGGTTGTTCTTTGCTAGCTTAAAACGAATCTGAGGTGCGCGAACAAGAGAGATCATCCAACTCGAGAATTGAAGGAGAAACCGGAGAACCAGAGAGCAAGGAAAAGTAGTTCTCATGTGCACTTTGATGAAAGCAATAAGACGATCAGTGGAACTAATCAAGATCAGGAGTACAAGAGTGGCATTGACCTTAATGCAATGCCAGTGGTATTCATTTGTTCTCCATTGCTGAAAGCTTGAAGCTTGCATGATTGTAGAGTTTGCTGTGTTGTGTTTGTTAAAGGTAAAGAGTTTGTTGATCTAGAAGAACAAGAAGTTGTGTATGACAGAATACTACGTGAAGATCAGAGACTTATTAATGACATATGTAAACATAATGATGCTGTCTTACATCTGTTGTTTTGGAAGTCTGCAAAAGTTAGGGCCAGACCAGTTAAGAAGAACTTTGAACTGTCAGTTGTGGCACCATAGTGGGAGACTGCAGTTGAGAAGAAACTGAACCATTTATCCATATTTCGGTGTTTGCTATTTGCGAATCTGCTGCAATCTCACACTGGGATACCCCAGTTGAGATTGAGGGGGAGTATTAAGGGTACAAATGTAATACAGTTAGTAATATAGTTAGGTAGTTAGTATTTGGTTAAAGTAGTTAGGATTTCTTTATAAATAGTATGTGTAACCTTCATTTCAGTAAGTCAATACAAAAACCTATTTCTCTCTAAACTCTTTCTCTAAAATCTCTCTTGCTTCTCTCTGTCCTCTTCCTCTGTACCAATCTTTTATCTTTGCAATGTAGTTAATAGTGATTACTGTTCTCACGGCTTTGTTTCTGAAGAAAAAAAAAAACATATATTCCCTCCGTGCATATATTTAATTATCTACAATTTTTCTCCATCTTCTTCTTACATTTTCCACATGCATATATATTTTCTAGTTAATAATCAAGTAAATGTTCTGTAGGTGTACAACAACTCGAAGAAAAATTCCAGCTTGATCCTTTATGCAAAATACCGAGGGATTGCGACCAGTTGGGTTAGCATTGCCAATGCATCAAGGAAACCTGTCACTGTTCATGAATAATTAGAGACGAAGAAAAACTGTCACATGGAAGGAAAGAAAGACTCTCACGAGGGAGGGAGTTACAGAACTCTTGCCGATTACGATTTTTCTGTCTCTGTCGCTACTAGGGTTTGGCATGCTCAAGCTTCGATCCATTTTATTGTAAATGAAAAAAAAAACAATTTGGATTGAATATTTACAGCAAAATCCTGCAAGGAAGATGAAGAGCACGATAATCAGAGCTACTTTCAGCGAAGTTTTCATCCCTTCAGTTTATTTGACAGCAAGGGCTAAAGAAGTTTGATAGTTCTGCAATGTGCTGTTAAAATTATCCTTCAGTATAGTTTTCTGGAAACATACGATTATATAGAGCTTTAAGTTTAACTCCATCTTGGTTGAATGTAAACAGGTAAAAAATTAGGTGTTTAAATTTAGTAAGATATGAATTAAAGATATTCTCCAAAGAGCTTGTAGGATACCAAAACAACGCTCCACATCCTTCCTACACCCCTTTTGACATTTTGTGAAGTGTTTTTCTTTTTCACTCTATGGATGTGGCACTGTTTTGACAAACGTTGACAACATGATCAGGGAATATGTTGTTGAGAATAAAATAATCTTCAAAGAGATCTTTACCTTGTCTTTCCCTTTTTCTATCGAAGTTTGCGGCATGTCTCGATTTGGCTATCTGACCCACAACTTCCATGACATGGCGGGAATATGAGGCCCTCTGCCTTGTATGGTCATCATCCTCATCCTCCTCATTGCGAAAGCCTTATCTCCACCTCCACCTTCCTCGAGATTGACCAATTCTTCCTGTTGTGTCAACAATCTTTTCTGTTGCTTCTCAAATTGTTTATACACTCTCCTTGAAGAAGACATTGTAAAAAAAAAACTCAAGATTTGAAAACGATGAAGAAGGATTCTGAGCTAAAAAAGAAGGATTGAGTTTGATGTGAGGATGGATGTAGAGATGTAGGGTTTATATGGACAAAAAAAAGAAAGGATGAGGTTCTGGACAATGCCACGTGGCACTTACAGATTGATTGAAAATTTTATCAAAATCTTGGCTAAATTATTGCAAACCGGAAGTGACACGTGGTGCGTTGGGATTGGTTGAAAATCTTATCGGAAATCTATCCACAAAATAGTACGTTCGGATAATGACACGTGACGTAATAAGATTGATTGAAAATCTTATAGTAATCTTGGCTAAATTATTGTAAACAGATAATGACACGTGGCACGTCGGGATTGGTTGCAATCTTAGCGGAAATCTATTCACAAAATAGTATGTTCGGATAATGACACGTGGCGTGACGAGATTGGTTAAAAATCCTATCCGAAATTAAAACTATTTTATTTATTTATTTCTTTATTCTTTTATAAAAAAAATTTAAAAATTTAAAAATGGGCTGGGTGCCAGCGCATTTTGTAAGGGTGGAGATCGTTTGTGCCAATGCATTTTTAGACTTTGTGTCATCACATTTTTTTAGGGGTGGAGATGCATTTGGCCTATTACTTTTCATTGGGGTCTATCATTGTTCACTGAGTAGATAAATGCTTTGGGTGCTATCACATTTGTATTAGGGGTGGAACTGCTTTGATGGTTGACGGTGGGTCCCGCCAACTTTTGTGTAATCTCAGACTTTTTACTCAGTTGGACGTTGGACACGTGTTCCACCTGCCGTGTGGGATGGATAGGTTGCTCACGTGTCTTCTAAATGACATTCCGCGTGTCGTGTGGCATCGAATGAGTTGACCACGTGTCTAACATTTGGCCATAAGCAGGATGGATCTGGTGTGGTGACCTATGTGTCATTTGGTACACACACGCGATTCTCGGATGATCAGATGGACGAGATCGCTTACGGGTTGGAGATGGGCGGGTGTCGGTTTATATGGGGCGTTCGATCAAATACGTGGGAGACCAGATGAAGGGTGGGAGAGAAGGGTAGAAGGGAGAGGGTTGGTTGTACGTGATTGGGAGGAACTCAGTGATGGAGAGCTTGTCAGCGGGAGTCCCACTACTGGTTTGGCCAATGGGAGCAGAGCAGAGCAACCACTGAATGCCAAGCATGTTGCAACGGGACTGAAGGCAGAGCCGATGGTTAAACCAGAGAAGATCACGACCGTAGATCGCTACGTGATTTGTGATGGAGTGAAGGAGTTGATGGAAGGTGAGAAAGGGAGGACTGTGGAAAGGGCAGGAGTACAGGGGACCATGGCACGTCGTGCCGTGGAGAAAGGTGGATCGTCGGATACGAAATTGGATGAATTGATCAAATGCCTCATTGCCAACCAAAAGGAAATAAAATTCTAATACTGACAATCTGACCAAAATGTTCGCCTTTTAAACTCAATTGTTGAATTGATTAGTTTTTCAGTATATTGTCAATCTAACAATAGACACTCAAAATCACGTTAAACTCAATTGTTGAAATGATTAGCATATAAGATAAAATTCTCTGAAATACCGACTGATAATTCACATTAATAATTTGGTTTTGTATATTGACAATACTACCCTGAGTCACCTTTTTCACTCCTGACAATTCAAAACAGCTGCATCAGGGGCTGCAACGGTAGTTTCACGATACACAACAACAACAACAAAGCCTTTTCCCACTAAGTGGGGTCGGCTATATGAATCCTAGAACGCCATTGCGCTCGGTTTTGTGTCATGTCCTCCGTTAGATCCAAGTACTCAAGTCTTTTCTTAGGGTCTCTTCCAAAGTTTTCCTAGGTCTTCCTCTACCCCTTCGGCCCTGAACCTCTGTCCCGTAGTCACATTTTCGAACCGGAGCGTCAGTAGGCCTTCTTTGCACATGTCCAAACCACCGGAACCGATTCTCTCTCACATTTCCTTCAATTTTGGCTACTCCTACTTTACCTCGGATATCCTCATTCCCAATCTTATCCTTTCTCGTGTACTCATACATCCCATGAAGCATCCTCATCTCCGCTACACCCATTTTGTGTATGTGTTGATGCTTCACCGCCCAACATTCTATGCCATACAACATCGCTGGCCTTATTGCCGTCCTATAAAATTTTCCCTTGAGCTTCAGTGGCCTACGACGGTCACACAACACGCCGGATGCACTCTTACACTTCATCCATCCAGCTTGTATTCTATGGTTGAGATCTCCATCTAATTCTCCGTTCTCTTGCAAGATAGATCCTAGGTAGCGAAAACGGTCACTTTTTGTGATCTTCGCTAGATTTGCTCCGGTCATTAGTGTGGATAAGTATATAAATGGATAGAGATAGGAAAGCAATCACAAGATGTACGTGGTTCACCCAGATTGGCTACGTCCACGGAATAGAGGAGTTCTCATTAATTGTGAAGGGTTTACACAAGTACATAGGTTCAAGCTCTCCTTTAGTGAGTACAAGTGAATGATTTAGTACAAATGACATTAGGAAATATTGTGGGAGAATGATTTCGTAACCACGAAACTTCTAAGTACTGGAGTGTGGTATCGTCTTGACTTTCCTTATCTGTCTCATAGGTAGATGTGGCATCTTCTCTGGAAGTACTCTTCCTCCATCCAGGGGTGGTATCTGTAACTGGTGGAGATGCACAAGGTAATGTATCAATGTTCACTTGAAGCTTACTTGTAGTTTCAGGCTTGGTCAAGCGCGATACAAACCATGTAGTAGGAGTCCCCCCAAGTCGCCGAGCTAGGGGATCTGCTGAAAGAGGTGACAGACAAGGTAAGCAATCAGAGCTCCGGCTAATTGTTCACATTCTCCCTATCTTGCAGGCAGCATGAAGGATAAAGAGAAGAAAAATGAGAAGAGATGATATGGGATACTTTTGCTTTTGAAGAAGTAACTTTCCACAGGCTTATTCTTGAACTAGGCTGGAGGGTTTTCTGGTTTCCTCTAGAGTATAAGGCCGACTGAAGAATTTGAGGGTCAAAACAAGTCCATCAAATCTAGAGTACGTTCGACCCTGCTGATATGGGATACTTTTGCTTTTGACAGAGTAATGGATGTATCGGCACGTGTGCTGTTACGCTTGTCTCCACATGCTTCCTTGTATCCTTCTCACTTGCCCTATCTGTTCCTCAGGCAGATGCGGATCTTCCCTGGAAGCATAAGATGTTGAAGATGAGTACTCGAGAGCAATGCCAGGTAAGTAATCAGGTAAGGGGTTCCAGGCAGTCAGTTCCTGGCTGGAAGCTTGATTCCAAGTGCTGACTGATTGCTCTCTTTCTCCTTGTCTTGCAGGTAAGAAACAAGGCCAAAGGAAAAGACAGGGAAAAAAGCATGATATGGGATACTCTTGCTTTTAACCCTGATGATATGAGATATTCTTGCTCTAGTATAGCTTGTTTACAGAGGTATTATCGGGGGGAAAGAAAGCTGAATATTTCGAAAGGCTTCGTTGGGAGTGCCCTCTCAGATAAGAGGAAGGGTTGAGCATTTTTTGCAGGTCTGCCTGTCCGTTGGGGATGGAGGTCGACATATATAGGAGTCTCCCTAACATCAAGTAATAATGCTATTCCTTTACCCTGCTTGGTCATAGCACGGTAGTGGGAGCTGCCAGCTTCACAAGTTTTAACTCTGTCAGAGCACTTTGAAAAAGTGGTCTGTGGTATCTGGAAAGCTGATGTTGCGTGTGAAGATTACAGACAAGCTTTATCCAAGGAGATTCAGCTCTTGAAGTTGGGAAAGTGGTGCCTCTTCGGTTTTCGAACAAGCAATCCTGTCGGGGATCTGGCTCTCGAGATTCGGAGAACGATGCCTCTTCGATTTTTGAGAAAGCAATCCTACTGGGGGTCTGGCTCTCGAGATTCGGAGAGCGGTGTCTTCGATTTTTGAGAAAGTAATCATGTTGGGAGTCTGGCTCTCGAGATTCGGAGGGCGGTGCCTCTTCGATTTTGGAGCAAGCAATCTTGTTGGGAGTGTTTTCTCGAATGTGAGTAAAGGTTGGGCATGTTTGCTAGTCTACCTTGCCACGAAGCACAGAGGAGCAGTGGTACTGTTCCTTTACCCTTGTGGGTAATAATATGGTAGCTAGACCTTCAACATTTATGTGTCTAAACTTTGTTAGTGTTGTTTCTTTGCTAATCTTTTACCCTTCTTGGTCAGAGTGATGTAGTGGGAGCTGCAAGCTTCACGTGTCTCAACTTTGTCAGAGAACTTTGGCAGATTTATATGTGGTACCCATGAGCTACTGTTGCGTGTGGGAAGTGGGTGATTGAACAGTACGATTCATGTGCTTTCTACTTCGCCAGAAATCTTCGACAGAATGCCCATAATTTCCGCAAAGCTGAGTGTGCGTGTGACAGGTGCTGACAAGGCTGGAAAAGTAGGTGCCTCTTCGATTTCTGAGATCGGCCCTCGTGGTCTCTGAGCAGCCCAGCTTTTGAGAAAGCAAGCCTCTTCGATTTCTGAGATCGGCCTTCGTGGTCTTTGAGCAGCCCAGCTTTTTGAGAAAGCAAACGCCTCTTCGATTTCTGAGATCGACCCTCGTGGTCTCTGAGCAGCCCAGCTTTTGAGAAAGCAAACGCCTCTTCGATTTCTAAGCAGGCGCCTCTTCGATTTCTGAGCAGGCGCCTCTTCGATTTCTGAAGCTTCATCGAGTGCAGATTTTTATAGGGGCTGATATTAAGTTCCAAAGCACACTTGAATCTCCACCAGTAGAAGCTCCATTCTTGCACTTCTAAGATCTTGATTTGTCCGACCTCTTCTCTCTTCAACACCTTTGAAAATGTCTGGCCCCTCCGACCGTCGTTTTGACTTGAACCTTGTTGAAGAGGCAGCCCCGCCTTCTCCAGACAACATATGGCGCCCATCCTTCGTCTCCCCTACTGGTCCTCTTACCGTTGGGGATTCCGTGATGAAGAATGATATGACCGCTGCGGTGGTGGCCAGGAACCTTCTCACTCCCAAAGATAACAGACTACTTTCCAAACGGTCTGATGAGTTGGCTGTTAAGGATTCTCTGGCTCTCAGTGTTCAGTGTGCAGGTTCTGTGTCTAATATGGCCCAACGCCTATTTGCTCGAACCCGCCAAGTTGAATCATTGGCGGCTGAAGTGATGAGTCTCAAACAGGAGATTAGAGGGCTCAAGCATGAGAATAAACAGTTGCACCGGCTCGCACATGACTATGCTACAAACATGAAGAGGAAGCTTGACCAGATGAAGGAATCTGATGGTCAGGTTTTACTTGATCATCAGAGATTTGTGGGTTTGTTCCAAAGGCATTTATTGCCTTCGTCTTCTAGGGCTGTACCGCGTAATGAAGCTCCAAATGATCAACCTCTGATGCCTCCTCCTTCTAGGGTTCTGTCCAGTACTGAGGCTCCGAATGATCCCCCTCCGGTGCCTTCTCTTTCTGGGGCTCTACCGACTGCTGAGACTTCTCCTAAGCAACCTTTGTGAAGGCTCCCTCTTGTTTGTTTATTTTGACTCAAGTATATGTACATATTTGTAACTTATCGGGGGATATCAATAAATAAGCTTTCCTTCATTTCAACGTATTGTGTTAAATACACCAAAAGTTTAATAAGCTCAGTCATCTTCTTCCTGATCAAATTCCTTAACCTTCACATCGGCATCTTCTCCGAACTGAATGCAGGTATCGATCTGAGCCACAGGACGTAGCTCATGCTGTCAAAAAGATGTGTGCAAAAAGAAACCCCAACATTATCGTAGATGATATCAATCCAACAGTAAATACATGCATGAAAAGACCGTAGAGGAAAACGTGCATAGATGGATAGATAGATACAGAAAAATGTGCATATAGAGAGTGTGCACCTGCTTGACTTCCTCAAGTCTAGTGGCAGAAAACTCACCATGCTATAATCATCGACCTGACAAACCAACCAACAAGATAGTCACTCCTTAATGCACTAATTCATCGTGGCCAATAAGATTATGACTACTTTGTTTAACAAAACAACGCCTATAAGTACCACAAGTCGTAACCATCACCACAAAACTTGATGTTAGTCGGGTACAGGACATGGTACAACCCTAAACTATATATAACCTCTACTATATAATCCACAACCGAAGTCAAGTGAAGGTTACATGGCTTCTCAACTGACAGGATAACTGATACAGATAATACAACCAAGGGACCAAATCAAACCATATAGAACAACCATAAAGGAAAATCTCACCCAGAAGAAAGTATGCTTCACTAAACAGCTATCTCCAATTCACAAACTCAAATGGATACAATTATATAAGAAACATGAGCACTATAATAACTCACCAGTTCAATCAAAGATTTATTTAGCTTTGCAAACTGAGGAGCCATGCGTTGATTCAACTCTGATAATAAAACTTGAGGCTCCGGATACAAGAAGCTGGAACATTAAAGATACAAAACAAAATTGAGCTTTTTAATAAGCTAAACAGATCAATAAAGATGGGTTAATAGAAGTAGTAGAGGATAGAGTAATTCACTCTTCAATATCCTTTTTTCTCGGTGCAAGGTCCATTTTGGAGAGGATATTAACATGTGGTAATTCAAGTTGAATCATGGCAGAAAGAGATGCCATGCACCCACTAATAAACTTAGTCACATCCGTAATGAACTGTTTCAATAGAAGAATAAATATAGTTATTTGGGGTTATAAACAGTAATTCAAAGGAAGGAAGAAAATATTTGTTGAGAAAAGATTACATGATAGAACTACAAAAACTTGTCACAGACCTGAGAATCAAGCAAGTAGACAACACAGACTTTGAAATTTTTACGCTGCAGATGCTCCACAAAGTTCCGAAGCACAGGCACATGCGAGAAAAGTTCTATCTGGCCTATAACACAAGTGGATGCCTAAGATTATTATGTTTCACAGAAATTCCTCCAAACACCCACGAACAGAGAACTAGGAGCCTAGACATAATTTTGCTTTTACTACTATGAGACTTACTGTCAACTCCAGAAACATGTCACCGAGCTATTACTATAGTTTTTTCCTCGTAATGTAACAATAATATCATTCATGAAAAAGTTAACCTTAATTTAGTCCACTTTTCCATCAATAGATCTCAACCACAATGCATGACAAAATATAATGACAACAAAACATGCGGATTAGTATGGATACCTGGGCAGTCAAAAACTAAGTAGTCATCATCCGTGTAATTGTCCAATTCCTCTGTGAGCCATTCATCCAGATTTTCTTCCAGGTGTCCAGAAATCAAGATTAAGGACATTCACCAAAGAAATTACAAGATCTAGAGAGAGGAGTACACCAGAAGTGGTACAATATGATTCACTGCTGTTATCACACGCAAAGATTCCATGTATGTGCCCTTCCAAAGAATGGCAATCATTTTAAGTAAAAGAAATAAAAGAACATAAGAAAATTCGAGAACAATTTGGAAAAAGGATACTCCATGCAGTATAAAAGTCCACCATTGGGACCCAAACCAAGTTCCTCCATAACATCCTCCAAGGAAACAAGCTCCCTAATATCTGCAGGAGGGAAAAGAACAGAATACAAGTTAAGTGCGGTTCATCAAACCAAACAAACAAATGAAATGACTACTTACCCATGGCCACAGGGTAATCAAAATTTTCCGCAGCAGGATCCAAATTAACAATATTGATACTCCTCCCAATAGCCGTACAGTGTTCGTGCAAACTAGAGCAATAAGTCGACTGGTTCCAAGAAGTAAACGAACTTATCAAAACTAGTAATGGATATATAAAAAAAAAAGTTGAAAAAAAATGCAATCATAGCAATCCTGATGTGATTATAATGCACTCCTCATTCAAACACTGTCGGGGAAAATTAGAGCAATAAGTTGACAGGTTACAAGAAGTAAACAAACTCATCAAAACTAGTAATTGGCATGCCGAAACATCGAGAAATGTTAATCATAGTAATTGCCCATATGATTATGATGCATCCCCACATACAAACAATATTGCAGCAAATTACATCAATAAGCCGAAAAGTTCCGAAAAGTGAGACAAAGTCATCAAAACTAGAGAAGGGTACATAGTTGATAGTACCATAAAAATGACTGAGTGATGTCCCACATCGGTTAGAGACAATGTTTGCTATGTGTTTATATGGTCTTGGGCTACTCCTCATATGACCAATTGGTTTTATGGTGGAACCTCAATTTCATCATGGTATCATAGCGGATTGTCCTCGTGTGAAGCTAAATGGTCACACGCGCTCCACGTCATCCAGTTGTTGTCCATGTGTAGCTTGAAAATCCGCCCCACGTGCAGGGCGTGTTGAGAGTTGTCCCACATCGGTGAGGGACAAGATTTGCTATGCGCTTATATGGACTTGGCTACTCCCCATATAGCCAATTGATTTTATGGCGTAACCTCAATTTCATCAATTACAAACATAATAATTCCCATGAGCTTATGCGGAATCCCACATTCAAACAGTTGGTGCAAATTAGAGCAAAAAATCGACCGGCAATCAAACAAACTAATCAAAACTTGTAATGGGTACACAAAAACGTCAAAAAATATTAACTTTTACTGATTTCCCATGTGATTGTGCTGCAAGTGAGTGAGTGTTAGAGTAAATTTTGGGTAGTGAAATTTACCTTGCCGCTGCCGGCAGGGCCAATAACCAGCTGCGCGTAACCCATTTCAGATATCTGGATTTCTTGCTAGGGCAGCGAATTCAGAGAAGAAGATGAAGAAATTTGAAAATTGGGAAAGATGAGCACCGCGCACCAAACAACAATTGCCAGCAATCAATGATAGAAAGAGGGTCTAGGGTTTATGATATGTTTATTATGACGAGATAGACACTGATAGCGCGTTTACTAATCCGTAATCAAAACGGGTGAAATTGAATTGACGAGGAATTGAACTGATGAGGAATTGGATTGATGAGGAATTAGAAACATATTCCTATGAAAGGTGTTTACTAAACTGTCGGGAAACGAAGTAAGAATAATGTCAGTTCCATATAAATTGTTTACTAATTCATTTCTGAAAAGGAATCGAAATCATTTAATTACTAAAATGCCCTTGGTCTGATTGAGTGATTTTATATGATAATTAATAAAATTTAATTTTCATAACAGCATGAATTTTTTGTCGAATCTTTATAAACTAAATTGTTAACCCTTTTTAAACCAAATTTTTATACCCAACCCCCATAACTTCCCAAGCAGCCCAATTTTTTGACCTTTTCAAACCTTCACGTCTTTTACTCTTCTCCCAGTATCCTTCGTCAGTCCTCCCCAACCGCCATCGCCACCACCCTCTCCCTCCCTCTCCTACATTTTATTTTCTGTGCATCCTTCATTATCATTTCCTGCAGCTCCGTCTCTATCCTGCTCCTCCATCCCCACACGACCACGACGCCACAACCATAGAAGAACCAGCTTTACGATATCTGAAGACGGTTCGGATTGGTTGATTGTGGTGTAAATGCAGAGGGAGGTGAAAGGGAGGTAGGCGGAGAGGTCTGGGCTTGTTGGTTTCACTGGCAGATTGGAGTTTTAGGAATTAGTTGGGGTTATAATAGGTAGAAAAGTTGTATTCCGTATTCCGCTTGTCTCCCAGAATTCAAATGACACCTCCCACCTCAGGAATACAATTCTCCTAAAAACAGGAATCCAATTCCATTTTTCGTGCGGGCCCACTCATTTTGATTACTCCAAATTTTAGTAAATACAAAAATAATCCGTAATCAGAATCACACTCCGACTTTTGATTCCGATTATGGACACGTAAACACGCCATGAAAGGAGGTTCCTTTTATTTTCGCTTCGTTTTTCTTTTACGTTTTGCCGCGACATTTTCTTTTGGCTAAATTGCAATACTAGTCCCTGCAGTTTACTAAACTGTACTTTCACTTCGGTCTGTGGTTTTTTCTTTGCATTTTGATCCTTTACTTTCTTTTGTTAGCAGCGTTCCAATCTGTCAACTGTGTCAAAATTCCTTCCAACCACATTACAAACTCCAAGGAAAAAGGTTGGTTTGCTGCAACGTCAACTCCAGCTTTTGAGAATTACAACCCTCAAACAAAATATCAGAAATAAAATTTGGGGCTCTTTCAAATTTTCAAGACATTTAGAGTATGACAGGATCACCCTTGCAATAAGAAGAAGAAGAATCGAACTCAAATACGATCTCAAAATTTTGAATCTTGACGTCTGTGGAAGTTAGTAAAAAGGGCATATGGAACCCTTGTACATAATCAACGAGCTCAATTAAGGGAATGGCTGTCGTAACCTACGAAGATAACGAAGCTCAACCAAGTTTCCCATTTTTGCATCTAAAGTAGCACATCCGTACATTTTATAAAAACGGCACTTACAAAGTTTACTCTTAGGCTATCTTCTTAACTTGCTTCACCCTTTCGAAATCTGGGGCATGGAAATTCTTTTCCACCTCCCAAGCTAATTGAGACATGCAGTTAAACATTGACTTTGCACCCTTCTCATCCGTCACGTCCCTGGAGAAGGGAATGCGAATCTCAAATATACCTTCCTGAGGAGACCAAAGACGCAGGTCAAAGCCTAACCGATCAACCCAAACCAGTTTTGCTTCAGAAACCTGCACAAGGAAGCTACCATGACCAGATTGCAACAGAAAAACACAATATAAAGCAGATTCACTGATAAAGTGATGTATAAAGTCCTCAAGGAATGTTAATACAGGATTCAATAATTCAGGGTAAAATGCATTTAAGATTCTAGTAGAATGATTATTTGGTTTATCGTAATCCTGTAAATAAAAATGAAAGGTGCTATAACTTTGCAGACGGGTCCATACAGTTGAACATGCAAGCATCCAAATTATGGTTCGCGTGATTGAAAAGTAACATGACAGTTTAGTTGGGAATGCCATTTAGTGTAGGATGATTTATTTCATCAAATAGCACGAGCTCCCGACTTGAAATCTCAGTCATTGGTTGCTTAGTTTCTAAGTTTCATTTTTGGTTAACAAAGACATTTATTGGTCAACTGTAGTTTTCCCTTGCAACTATCATTGCCGCTCTCAAGCTTAACATAAGAATTTTGTATGTAATTCAGTGTTTCTGGTACCAACTTACAAGGTTTCAATATGCAATAGACAACACAACTATCAATCACAAAAAGTGGGTTGGCACAAACCTGGAAGTTCAAATCAGCATAGATGTTGCAAAAACGATTAATATCTTCAATGTTGTTGGTGTTTATCTCATTCACTAGCTTTACCGCAAAATCCCTAAGAGGATCAGGTTGTGCATTTTTATAATCTGAAGATGTAACCCACATACCAACCTGTGAGGGTATCAGAAAAGTTAAAAAACAGATCTGCTTTTGAATAACTCCTCCATCTCAAATATGTGCCAACTTAAGAGCTACAGGCAAAACTTGGAAGCATTAGCCCACACCAGTCTTACCAGACTACCAGTATAGAAAATAACTATTGCTTATGACTACTAAGCCCAGCACACGGGCAAATAAAATACCATAATACCTCTTTAAAGTCCTCCAACTGAAGTACCCGTTCCACAGAAACAACATATATAAGATCTTCATCAACTTCTTCTCCAAACCTCTTTTTCCATACTGAATGAAGGTACTGAAAGAAACGGCATTGAAATCCAGATGAAATACTGATTAAAACGATATAACATCCCACCTCATAAATAGATACTAGCAGAAACTAAAACAGATCATACGCTAATGCTTTTTATGAGCTTCAAATGGATCACAAGGTTCTCCTTTTTTCTTTTAAGAATGAATCAAATCAAAAGGCCACTACACGTAACACCTACATGGGTCAGTGTATGCTTCTGTTGGAGAACTGAGTCCAGCAAATAAATCCAGCCACATATGCTGGAACTCATGTCTGTACAAAAACTGGATTCAAATCCAAGTTCTAAGAGCGTCTCCAATGGGAAGGGACTCCCACCACAACCTTTGAGGACTCATTTATGAGCTTTAGAGGAATATTCGAGTCCCTAAAAGAATATTGTGTACAATGGAAATTCCTTATAGTATAATCCCTAAATATAGGGACTAAAATATTAAAAAATTATTATTCATTTCATTGAAATATTGTAACCATTGATAAAAATAAAAATAAAAACTATCTCTACCATTGATTTTTAAGAATTTAAAAAAAAAAGAAAAAAAAAAGGGAAATGAGAAGTTGCCCCACTTGGGTGGGTTCAAAAAACAAGGAAAAAAACATAAAGAGAAGCACCATTCCAACTCAAAATTAATATGGAGTACACCATTTGAGTCCCTATATGTAGTCCCCATATTTGAGAATTCTTTTAAGGTATCCGACAAGTCCCTATGTATTGCGATATTTTGAGGACTTCAATTCCGGCCCATTGGAAGTCATTTGTCCCTATATTTAGGGACTATACAATTGTAGGGACTCCATTTAGGGTCTCCATTGGAGATGCTCTAAGATCACAGTCCAACATTAACCCAACCCAATCCAAATGTCAAGCATATAACATTGTAAACCCTAAATTGCACCCCAAAACCATGATACAATTATTCAATCACAAATGTTACGCAAGCCAAACATTGAAGTGATAGCTCCAATATATATTTGACAAAAGCTGTGGCAGTCTGCCATAACGATCCAGTATTTTATCCTACTGCAAACAATGGAATCAGAAATGGACTAGTTACAGTTAGTTGAAGACTATGCAGGTCTGACAAACACGAAACATTAACTGTGTTACTCTTCTAATTCTGCATTCTTCTTAGTGAATTCTATCTTTAGTCCGCATAAATCAGCAACAATTATGTTTTCAAGATGCTTCCTTACAACTCAAGCAACACGCAGCATTCTAACACACATATGGTAAAGCCATCGGTAACAAACCACTTCATAGTGAAGCTTGTTCCAGATGAGCAAAAACGATTTACCTTTAACATTGCCCTATTTTCTGGTTTGTCAATGCTGCCTAAAATCGTGCACTGAGGTGTCCGCAGCCCGCTTTGCTCCAACTGTGCACCAAATAAAACAACACCACCACCTTGAAAACCTCAAGAATCACCTTAAACTTCATAATCAATCATCCAAATTAAAAAAAGTAGACCCTTTTAAAGCACCTGGACATGGAAGCTAGACCTCCTGTCAATAGAAAACTGCCGATTAGAGGCATTCAAGCACAACACCGGAGTCCCTTCCGGGTCGACCGCGAACCGAACGCCAATCCCCAAAGGCCAACCCTCTTGAGTCAGAGTAGAAAGCGTGCCCACAGACACCAACTCCATTATTGTCCTGGAAACCTCAGCTGGAACCGGCTTGTGAGTCTTCGTTTCCAACTGGGTCGGCTCCGAAACCGCCGAAAGCGAGCATCTTAGGGCTCTGAACCTAGTTCTGCGAAATGGGTTCTGTTTTATGGGGGTGAAAGATGGGAATTTGGGGGTGGGTTTTGAGGGAGGGAGTGGAAGGGACAAATGGGTTGTGAGAGATTGAGTTTGGAGAAGCATTGGAGAGTAAATTTGGGGTTTAGGGTTTGTTGATTCAATTGGGTTTTTGATTTGAGAGGAGTGGAGTGAAATGGTGTGGAAATGTTTTGGCAGTCAATGGATGGAGAGGGCTGCAGAATTTGAAGAAAAGGAAAGTGACAGTTTGGACAGACAGTTGGGGTTGGAAGAGGTGATGATAATGATGATGATAAATTGGGAAAAAGGATCATAAAAATGTGAGAAAATGAGGGCAAAATCAAGTGTAATTTACACAATAGGGCCTAAAGCTGTTTCTGCTTTGCTTGTTCACCTCTTGTGATAGTGATGATAACTACATTTTTGTTATAAAAATGTAAAAGTTATAGAGAGATAACCTTTATTCGGGATAGGAACGAAGCAGTTGTAGAGTATTATACCAACACAAGCTGTTGCAGAGAAAGTAATGTATATTATTACTATTAGATATTTTTCTCTTCCTTTTTTCTCTGCTTTGTTGAACATTCGTAAAGCTCTATTTATAGAGCATCACCATGGAAACAAACAAAAACACTGTTAAACATATGACATGTTCACTGTATGCATGTGGGCATACATATTATACTATTTACAACACTCCCCCTTGGATGCCCACATATCAACATCAGTTGCCTCATTAAAACCTTGCTTGGAAAAAACCCTGTGGGAAAAAAAACATAGCGAAGGAAAAAGAGTACAACTTTATCCGGATGGTGTTGAGCATGCTTATGTTGCCTCGTTAAAATCTTGATAGGAAAAACCCAGTAGGAAAAATCATAAGCGAAGGAAAAAGAGTACAACATGCATGTATCATGGATGCGCCCCCTGAATTGGATCTCCCCCTGATTTTGCATTCTTCAAATTTGTAAGCCGACGTAATCCGATTCCCTGCACCAGCTTCTGAAATATGCACTTTGGTAGAGATTTGGTGAACAAGTCTGCTAAATTTTCATTGGAACGGATTTGTCTGACTTCAATAACTTTAGCCTTCTGAAGCTCATATGCGCTGAAAAATCTTGGAGATATGTGTTTAGTGTTATCACCTTTGATAAATCCTTCCTTCATCTGGGCGACACAGGCTGCATTATCTTCATGGATGACAGTTGGAGTGTCTGTCTTTGAAGGTAGACCACATGAATTCCGGATGTGATGGATCATTGATCTTAACCAAGAACATTCACGACTTGCTTCATGTAGAGCAATTATTTCCGAATGATTGGAAGATGTTGCAACTAGCGTTTGCTTCGTTGATCGCCATGAAATTGCAGTATCTCCATTAGTGAACACATATCCATTTTGTGAGCGGGCTTTATGCGGATCGGGGAGAAAACCAGCATCTGCGTATCCAACAAGGATTTGTTCATTTGTGAGCTTGTCTGAGTAGAAGAGACCCATATATGTTGTCCCACGAAGGTAGCGTAGAACATCTTTGACTCTCTTCCAATGACGAATTGTTGGAGCAGAGCTGTACCTGGCTAACAAGTTAACTGAAAAAGCTATATCTGGTCTAGTACATTGTGCTAAATACAATAAAGCACCTATTACGCTCAAATATGGTACTTCTGGACCAAGGACCAGTTCATCATCTTCCTTTGGACGGAATGGATCTTTCTTAATGTCTAAAGAACGAACGACCATGGGGGTGCTAAGTGGATAAGCCTTGTCCATGCCAAATCGCTTCAGTATTTTTTCAATGTAAGCTGATTGATGGACCAAAATTCCACTAACACAATGCTCGATCTGCAGGCCTAGACAATATTTGGTTTTCCCAAGGTCTTTCATTTCAAATTCGCTTTTCAGATATTCAGCAGTTTTATGGAGCTCTTCAGGAGTCCCAACTAAGTTCATATCATCAACATATACTGCCACTATAGCAAATCCAGAGTTGGATTTCTTAATGAACACACAAGGGCAGATGACATTGTTGATATATCCTTCTTTAATCAAATACTCATTGAGACGATTATACCATATTCGCCCAGATTGTTTCAGCCCATATAGTGATCGCCTTAACTTGATTGAGTACATACCTCGTGGTTTGTTTGTTGCTTCAGGCAACTTAAGTCCTTATGGGACTTTCATATATATGTCAGTATCTAATTCTCCATATAGATACGCGGTGATGACATCCATAAGGCGCATGTCAAGTTTTTCTGAAATCACCAAACTTATTAAGTAACGGAACGTAATTGTGTCCATTACAGGAGAGTATGTCTCCTCATAATCAATTCCAGGTATTTGTGAAAAGCCTTGTGCAACGAGTCGTGCTTTGTATCTAGCAATCTCGTTTTTCTCATTGCGTTTCCTTGTAAATACCCATTTGTAACCTACGGGGTTTACATCAGTTGGGGTTTGGACTACTGGTCCAAAAACACTTCGCCTTTCCAAGGAATTTAATTCTGCCTGGATTGCATCTTTCCACTTAGGCCAATCTTGTCTCTGTTTGCATTCATCAACAGAGTGGGGATCAATATCATCACTTAATATGATTTCAGTGGCTACTGCGAATGCAAACATATCGTCAATGATTATTTCATTCTGATCCCACAATTCATTAGTACATGCATAATTTATGGAGATTTCTTTGCTTTCATGTACTTCTGTCTCTTCATGGCCATTTTCTTCTTCTGGAAGTCCAGAGTCATGAATTGTGGATTTGTCATTTACTCTCTCTTCCTGAATGATTTCATTTGGATTCAGTTGTGCCCTCGTCTTTCTCTTTCGAGGGGCTGAATCTTTTGAACCTGGTGGTCTACCACGCTTCAGGTGTGCACCAGATGAATCATTCGCTGCCACTTTATTTTGTCCAACAGGGACATCAATTCTGGCAGGTGCATTTGCAGCTGGTATATGCGATTTTGTCACTTTCATAGCGTCATTAAATGCATCTGGCATTTGATTGGCAATGCTTTGAAGATAAACGATCCTTTTCACTTCATTTTCACATTGAAGGGTTCGATGATCAAAATAAGACAAGGTGGGAACAACCCATGTCAGCTCTTTCCGTTCTTCTGGAACGGTCTTTTCTCCCCCTAACGATGGGAAGACTGTCTCATCAAAATGACAATCAGCAAAACGAGCTGTAAACATATCACTTGTCAAGGGTTCCAAATATCTAATAATAGATGGTGAATCAAAACCCACATAAATTCCCAGTCTACACTGAGGTCCCATTTTAGTGCGTTGCAGGGGTGCAATAGGCACATAAACAGCACGACCAAAAACTCGTAAATGTGAAATGTTTGGCTGATGTCCAAACACGAGTTATATTGAGGAGTATTGGTGGTTGGCTATAGGTCTCAATCGAACCAATGATGCAGCATGTAGAATGGCATGTCCCCATGCAGAAACTGGCAATTTGGTTTTCATAAGCAGAGTGCGGGCTATTAACTGAAGCCGCTTGATCAATGTTTCTGCTAAACCATTTTGAGTATGGACATGAGGAACAAGGTGTTCAACATCAATGCCCAATGTCATGCAGTAATCATCAAAGGTTTGAGACGTAAATTCACCAGCGTTATCAAGTCGGATTGATTTAATGGGATAATTTGGGAATTGTGCTCGTAACTTAGTTATCTGAGCAAGAAGTCTCGCAAAAGCTACATTCCGAGTAGACAAGAGACAAACATGTGACCATCTGGTGGATGCATCAACCAAAACCATAAAATATCGAAATGGTCCACAAGATGGTTGAATAGGTCCACAGATATCCCCTTGAATTCTTTGTAGAAATGATGGGGATTCAGCATCAACCTTTAGTTGTGATGGTCTAATTACCAACTTCCCTTGAGAACAAGCCTTGCAAGGGTTATCATTTGAGATAGCAATGTCTCTGCTCAATAATAGATGTCCATTAGAGTTGGTAATGATCCTACGCATCATGGTGGATCCTGGATGACCCAGACGGTTATGCCAAAGCATGTAAACCTTTGAATCAATGAACTTCTGGTTCATGATAGTATGTGATTCAACTGTCCTTATGTATGTATAATATAATCCACTCGAAAAACCACGCAACTTCTCCAATATACGCTTCTGGGTATCATTGGAGGTAATGCATCGATACTCCACATTTTTTGCACTTTTCGTTTCAATGTGGTATCCATTTAGACGTATGTCTTTGAAACTCAACAAATTTCGAGTAGATCGAGTAGCATACAATGCATTTTGTATGGACAATATTGTTCCATTTGGTAACATAATCTGGGCTTTCCCTGAGCCTTTAATCACATCTGAAGGTCCTGATATTGTTGTTACCCCTATTTTTGTAAGCATTAAGCTTGAGAAATACTTTCGATCACGAAGTATTGTATGTGTGGTTGCATTGTCAGCAAGACAAATATCTCCGCCATTTCTCATGTTCTGAGAATAACCACAGTTTTTATCCATGCTTTCTGAGTAAATGGAATCACAGTTAACAAACAATTTATAACAGGAAATTTACATGCCATTTTTATTGAATTTGAAAAACTAGTTTTAGACAACAAGTTCAGCATAATAAAAGTACATCAAACATAAACGATTTAGTCGGATCGATATACTTCATTCCCCCTTTCCATAATGAAGTCTGAAACATCTAGGTGAGTTGCGTCAAATTGCCCTGATAAATTAAACACTAGATCAGGTATATCCATTGGTTTAGCCTGGTCGAGAAAATTGGTCTCGACACCCTTCTTCTTGAGGGAGGCTTGATACAACTCCACCAGATGTTTTGGGGTACGACAAGTTCGCACCCAATGCCCATTGCCACCACACCTATGGTAGGCTCCTTCAGAGTTCCTGGGAGCATTGGTCATGTTAGCTTTGCCTTTGTGACGATTCACATTTTTGAAGCTCGGGCCAGAATTATGCCTCTGAACCTGGTTGTGAAACTGATCACCATGGTTCTTGCCTTTCCTATTCCATCGACCTCGTTTGTGGCCACGTCCTTGTTTATGATAATTACCACCAGAGGATGTGGCGTTCACTTCGAGGGAAGCAGCATTTACTTCTGGGAATGGTGCAGATCCAGTAGGTCGGGAATTATGGTTTTTCATCAGGAGCTCATTATTCTGTTCAGCTACCAGGAGTACAGATATCAGCTAGTTGTATTCAGTGTAGCCTCGCGCTCTATACTGCTGCTGCAGGAGCATGTTATTGGCATGAAATGTGCTGTAAGTCTTTTCCAGCAATATTTCATCAGTAATGGTATCCCCACAGAGCTTCATCTGAGAGGTAATCCTGAACAACGCAGAATTGTACTCCGCCACTGATTTGAAATCCTGAATTCACAGGTGAGACCACTCATAGCGAGCTTTTGGAAGAATCACCATTGTCTGGTGATTGTATCTGCTTCGCAAGGCCTCCCAGAGAGCTAACGGATCTTCAACCGTTAAGTACTCACTCTTTAGTGCCTCATCAAGATGGCGGCGAATAAAGATCATAGCGTTCGCCCGATTTTGAGAAGATGAGCTGCTTTCTTCCCTGATGGTATCTCCAAGATTCCCTGCTTCCAGATGGATCTTGGTATCAAGTACCCAAGTAAGGTAATTCTTCCCGGTAATGTCCAGGGCAGCATATTCAAGCTTAGCCAAGTTCGTCATTTTCTTTTCTGAAAGAAAATGAGATGTGTAAGAACTTGCAGTAATAAGTATTCCTAGAGGAATGTGATGTTAGAACTTCTGGTTCTTACAAATTTTTCATTTTGATCTTCAGGCCAAAATGATAAGCACTCGAAACTTCTGGCTCGAGATTTTCAGGGTGAATGAGAATGGCGATTGTACCGCACCATTCTCATTGAAAGAATGTAACATGGAATGGGTGATTAGCCCGCACCACTCAAGTAGCAAGAAAATTGAAATACGCAGAGCAGGGTGGGCGATTATACCGCACCACCTAAAATTGCAATGAAATTAAATAACAGGTAAATTTAAATTTGGAGAGTAAGGAGGGCGATTATACCGCACCACCTAAAATTGCAATGAAATTAAATAACAGGTAAATTTAAATTTGGAGAGCAAGGAGTGCGATTATACCGCACCACCTAAAATTGCAGTGAAATTAAATAACAGGTAAATTTAAATTTGGAGAGCAAGGAGGGCGATTATACCGCACCACCTAAAATTGCAATGAAATTAAATAACAAGTAAATTTAAATTTGGAGAGCAAGGAGGGCGATTATATCGCACCACCTAAAATTGCAATGAAATTAAATAACAGGTAAATTTAAATTTGGATAGCAAGGAGGGCGATTATACCGCACCACCTAAAATTGCAATGAAATTAAATAACAGGTAAATTTAAATTTGGAGAGCAAGGAGGGCGATTATACCGCTCCACCTGAAATTTGCAATAAAAGTAGATCTGCAGTCCAAGATAGGCGATGATACTGCACCATCTTGGATCGCAGTAAGATGAAATTTGCAGTTCAAGATGGGCGATTGTACCGCACCATTTTGGATTGCAGTAAAATCAATATAAATACTATGTTAGTAATCAATATCCAAACCAAACAAGTAATCAAAGATGTATGTAACCGCTAGTTGGAGAACTACGAGCAGGCATGGAGCAAATAGTTCGTCGCGAGGATATACCGCGCAGTTGAGGCAGATGAAGAAGATGAACAGGAAAAACCTTAGAGGAAACATTTTTTTTTTCGTTCGGCGGAGAGAAATGAGAGAATGATTTCCTTTATTGTTTAGTGAATGTAAATGAGACATGGTTATACTTAGAGACTCGTGCTGATAACGTGTTATAAAAATGTAAAAGTTATAGAGAGATAACCTTTATTCGGGACAGGAACGAAGCAGTTGTAGAGTATTATACCAACACAAGCTGTTGCAGAGGAAGTAATGTATATTATTACTATTAGATATTTTTCTCTTCCTTTTTTCTCTGCTTTGTTGAACATTCGTAAAACTCTATTTATAGAGCATCACCATGGAAACAAACAAAAACACTGTTAAACATATGACATGTTCACTGTATGCATGTGGGCATATATATTATACTATTTACAACAATTTTGTGCTTTTTAGGTTTTTTAAAAAGTAACACAAGATTACGAAAGTACTATTTAATTGTACATGTTTGTAATAAAACAGGTGATTGATTAGTGGTGAAGCATAAATTAAGTACTAGTTTTTGAAATTTGTTCACCACTATTTGGTGTGTGAAATTATATTAAATACATCATAAGTTATTCAGATTAGCATGTTTTTTTTTCACTCTATGGTTATGTAGCAAACGTTTAGTGTCCCACATTACTTTATTTCGTTAACTTCATAATAACCTTTTAACTTCTAATCCACAGTATCGTAAACTAACAATACTGTAGATAACAAATTGACAACATATCAAATAACCTCTAATTAAAAAAGGAGTAAAGTGGTTCTGTTTCAAAGCATAGTAACACGGTTCTGTTTCAAAAGCAGGGCTGAAATGATATTTAAGATATAATTATGGGGCATTTTGAAAGGGGTAAACTGTTATTTGACCTCTTGAAGTATTACTCCAGTTGAAATTGACTCATGGCTATTTTTTTGGTAAATTAACAACCCCTAAACAATTTGAAATCAGCCAATTGGCCCCTTGTCGGTAAATTCCATCCATTATTTCGTCAAATTCAAAGGTAAACTAGTCTTTACTTCATCAATCCTTACTTGTGAACTATAACCACTATTGAATTTATGACATATGAAAGAAAAATAATGTGTAATGACTGTTGATGCACAAAATCGAAGGTCTTGGAACAACATAAATCAGACCGTGAATCTGCAAGAAATATAAATAACACAAGATGTATCGTGATTCACCCCAAGTTTTGGGCTATGTCCACACCGATTATGTATTTCTCTGAGAAGTGAAGGAGAGAATGTGAGAGCCTCTGTAATGAGAGTGAGGCTTTGAGGGGGGTGAGAGGGCCTAGGAATTGGCCTCTTCCAATTGTAAGGGTGATGGGTCCTTTTATAGAATAAGGGTTCTATATTTATTACATATTTGCCCCTTCCTTTATCACATAATTACATTTAAATCCACTGAGTATTTGTACGAGATCTAAATACAGAGGCCCTAAATATGGTATAAACAGTAGTCCCCCAAGTCTTCAGTCAAGAGAATCTTTTGGTTGGAGACTTGAAATTCAGTCCATGTGTGGGCCAAAGTAACTAGATGTTGTCTTGAACTGATGCTCGATATGAGGCGGTGCTTAATTTGAAATGATGCTCAACTAGAAGAGCATATGTTGCGAGGCTGCTCGGTTTGTGGCTTATGTTACCTTGGTTGGCTCGGCTTGTGGCGCTTGAAGGTGAGGGGGTCCCTTTTATAAAATAAGGGTTCGCTCCTCAATACATAAATGATGGGCTAGAGTTGATGCTCGAGGCGAGGCTATTGCTCAACTGGCTACGATGCTCTCTAATGAAGGTGAGGGAGTCCATTTTATAAAATAAGGGCTCGCTCCTCAGTACATGAATAATGGTTAGGAGTGATGCTCGCGGCGAGGCGGTTGCTCAGCTGGCGGCGATGCTCTCTAATGGAGGTGAGGGAATCCCTTTTATAAATAAGGGCTCGCTTCTCAGTACATGAATAATAGGTGCTCTCTAATGAAAGTGAGGAAGTCCCTTTTATAGAATAAGGGCTCGCTCCTCAGTACATAAATAATGGGCTAAGTCCCCCAAGTATTTTTCATGAGGCTCAGTTGAGGCCCAATATATGGTGTATAGTGTAGTCCCCCAAGTCTTCGGTCAATAGAGTCTGTTGGCTGGAGACTTCATATTGAATCCATGTATGGGCCGAAGTGGCGGTTGTTCGGATGCGGTATTTGTATACCTTGCATTGAAGCTTTGCAAGTGAAGCTTTGTAGGTGAAGCTCTGTAAATGAAGCTTTTGAAGCTGGAGCTTTTGTAAATGAAGCTTTTAAAGCTAGAGCTCTGTAAATGAAGTTTTTGAAGCTAGAGCTCTGTAAATGAGGCTTTTGAAGCTGATTGACATAAGTGATGCTCATGAATGTTTATGTTGATTAACATGAGTGATGCTCATTGATGTTGTCATGAGTAATGCTCATGAATGTTAACATGAGTGATGCTCATGAATGTTGACATGAATAATGGTCATGAATGTTTATGTATGATTGTCATGAGTGATGCTCATGAATGTTTATGTATGAATGACATGAGTAATGCTCATGTATAATTTGGAGTACTGGGCGTACTTTTGATCACCTGGTTGGTGGCATGAAGGAAAGTATCGGTTGTATATTTCATCACCTGGTTGGTGGAATAAATGACTAGTTGCCAAATGATATTTAGAGTATGGGTTATACATTTCATCACCTGGTTGGTGGTAATAGCGGCAGGTTGCTGAATAATTTTGGAGTACTGGGCGTACTTTTGATCACCTGGTTGGTGGTAATAGCAGCAGTTTGCCGAATAATTTTGGAGTACTGGGCGTACTTTTGATCACCTGGTTGGTGCTATTTTGGGCTTATGGGTCTTCGCCCTCCACAACATGCTAGCCCATTTACTTTGGGCTTTGCCGGTTTTTTTTTTTTTTTGGTATTATTACCCTCTGATAGGGTTTATACAGATGTCTCCGAGAGATAAGAAAAATAAATTACATCATACATCTGTCAAAAAAGTAAATCACATCATTCTGGTGGAGTATTTATTTCTTACTTTTGCTTTCTGCTTTTGCTTTCTCTTTTGCCTTTTCTTTTCACTTTAACATCATGGTGTCATCTGTGAAGAGTGGGAACATGCATGATGAAAGTTGGTGGGCATCTTTTGTGTTGTCATCGTGCCAAGTTGATTCCCTTAATCAACTTGGAGCTTGGGCTGCTGTGCATTAGTGGGTAGCCATGTTTTCTGCTTTTTTTCTTTTTGCTTTTGTTTCCCACTCCTTTTCTTGCATGTTCTTCTGCGTGTGAAGTTATCATTGGCAAGCTGGGAGATTGGGACACTGAGGGTAGCTTCCTAGGCAGCGAGCTTAGCTTCGTCTTGGCGGACCCATTGTTTTGGGGCAGAATAAGATACAACGTAGAAGTTTTGGGGCAGGAAACTCAAAGTTTTTTTTGGAGACCTCTCATTCGGTTGGCAGACCCATTGTTTTGGGGCTGCAATTGTTCCAATAAAACTAATTACCCTCTAATGGGCTATTAATAATCATACCCAGACATCTACAAGGAGTCAACTACCATCCCATTATTACTCCACCCGCATTCACTCGTACACGCCCCATTCTCCTGCGATCCCCAGGTTTTTCTGGCGGGCTCGACAAACTCGACGCCGGCCATCACCATTGACGCCGAGTCAGAAACAAACGCATCGCATCTCTCGCTCTTCCCATTCCCGACCACCAGAGACGGCGTCGGAAATGTCGTCGCCGGTGAAGACTGTTTGTAGTGTTTGGGTGGAAAGAGTGTTTGGCTGCAGAAAATATGTGAGAGAAAGAGGTGTGGAGATGACGATCTTGACGGAGATGGGAGACTCCGGCAGAGGAGACTTTGGGGCAGCTGCTTCCATGCGCTGGGACTCAGAAGTGGCACCTGAGAGAGGTCGCTGTCGTCGTATAGAAAGCTGCGGAAGAGATCGACAGCACCCCAGTCCTTGCCGCTGAAGGAGGCTGGAACGGATCCCAACGTAATCGCCTTCTCGAAAGTGGATTGAACCGCTCCGAGAGGGTTCGCCAGACAGTCGTACGCTACTTCCACCATATCTGATTCTCTCTCTCTCTATCAATGTCGGTCTCTGTTAGACTTGTTGCAACTGCTGAAGTGTTGATGGTTTTTTTATTTGCCTGAGGTGGTATTCTCAGTGTTGCAGAGAAAGCAGGGAGAACTCTGTGTCTGTGTGTCTGTGTGGGTTTTGCAAATCCATGGCGGAGGTGAAAAAATGAAAAAGAACCGACATAACTTTTCGTGTCGATTCCCACAGACGGCGCCAAATGTTGATGCACAAAACCGGAGGTCTTGGAACAACTTAAATCCGACCGTGAATCTACAAGAAATGTAAATAACACAAGATGTATCGTGGTTCACCCCAAGGTTTGGGCTACGTCCACACTGATTATGTATTTCTCTGAGAAGTGAAGGAGAGAATGTAAGAGCCTCTGTAATGAGAGTGAGGCTTTGAGAGGGGGTGAGAGGGCCTAGGAATTGGCCTCTTCCAATTGTGAGGGTGATTGGTCCTTTTATAGAATAAGGGCTCATCACTTATTACATATTTGCCCCTTCCTTTATCACATAATTACATTTAAGTCCCCTGAGTATTTGTACGAGATCTAAATACGGAAGCCCTAAATATGGTATAAACAATGACAATGTAAGATGCTATGTTATGTAAACGTTTAGTTTTTTTTGTATTTTTTTCTCATTATGCTATGTGTTTTTGAATTATTTTGTGTTCATGTGTCAAAATTTTATTAGTGGCTATAACTGACAAATAACAATTGATGATGACATGACTAATTTGCCCTTGAATTTGATTGAACTGATTCCGCAATCTAACGGAAAAGGGTTAATTGACTAATTTTAAATACTTCAAGGAGTTAATTTATCAAAAAAATAATTTAGAGAGTTAATTTTATATGCGGTGACAGTTTAGGGGGTTAGACCGTAATTTACCCTTATGAAAGATAAGTAAAAAATGAAACAAGGTAAAACCTTTTCTTTTATTTAGTTTTCCAACAACTTTTCCACTTCAATGAGAAGCAAATGGCGGCAGCAACCTTCAACAGTCCCGTTCGTCCCTTCGCATCACCCATTTCCCGCCAAATCAACTTCCCTCGCCAACGGTCTCCGCTTCTTCGATATAATTCCGTCAAAGGTGAGTTCTTTCTTCACTCCCATCCAAACTCCACAACTCAATTTCCCAAAAAAAATTAAAAAAATTGAAAGCTTTTTTCCTCCTGTTTCGTTGCGGAGATACGTTTGCCCAGTGAGTAGATAACCCAGAACTTCAATGAAATGCTAACAATCAGCTCCTTGTTCGATTTAGCTAAAATTTCAGTCTTTCGGGTCCAGTGCGTCCGAAGTAACTGCAAAAAATGAAGCTCAAATTTTCAATATTCTTTTGTTTTCTCGGCAACCAACTAGCCATGTGATTTGTGTGTTGTAGCTGCAGGTTATGCTCTTTTGGTTCTGCCTTGTTGGTTTTAGTTGTGCTAGAATTGTATGTACATGTATGGATAAGTGATTATCGTGTTTAATTGGGTGTGTAGGTTTTCGATTATACGAAAATAGGTCTTTGCATTGTGGTGTGATTTGTGCTGTCAATGGAGGCGGGAGAGGGTACGTATCTTCGTGGGATGAGAAGCCATATGAATATCTTCCAAGTGGGAAAAAAGCTTACTTGGACGAGCAAGATGTTGTCACGTTTCTTGATCCTCCTAAGGAGTTGATTCCTTTGGACTCGGCTTCCTACAATCCTGCTGCATATCTTTGGTTAGTATCGAATTGTTATGACCCTTTCGTTCCGAAACTTTGTTTGAGTTATTTTCTCATTCACTTGATTGACTTATTATTTTTTTGTATGTAATGTCAGTGCGAATTTTAGTAATTTCAAGTTACTCCCCTTGGTTGTGAAATTGCTGAGAAAAAGTACAAGTGTTGTATATATAACACACATGTATAGGGAGTGTCATCGTTGCTTGCATAAGATCAACGCATGATGATTATGGACGCCATTGATCAATTTGACTTCATCATACAGTTAAACGATTAACAGCGTGCCATTAAAACTTGCACATATTTCCCTTGTCTGCATATGCGATATAGTACTATCCTGCATATGTGATATACTACTATCTTGTAAAATGAAAACAATTTAAATGAGGAACTAAGTAAGATTAGGTTAGTTTGACTGAAGTTTTTACTTTCTTTGAGTCTACAGAATAGGCTGTGGTTCATTTGACTAGGATAAGAAATAACATCTATTTCCCTTTAACTGCATGAATCCTCAGATAAGAACGTTTATTTAGCAGTAATAATTATACTTTATAACTATAGGTAACATTAACTGTCTTTAAAGTTTTTGCAGATTGTGAGTAATAAGAAAGTCCATTTTGTTACATTTTCTATCATGTTAGTCGGACATTATGTACATTTACTAGAGTTATGGTTGAGCTGTGTGTAGGCTTGTTATGCATAGATTTTTTATTTGGTGCGAAAATCGTGCAAGTGGATTCAGTTTGAAGGCTGTTGACCCTATGTCTGTGAAAGTTTAAAACATAGAACCTGAAGAGAAAGCCCCAGAGTCAAAGAATACTAGTCATCACTTGGATCCTAGCCAGCAAGTCAATAGAGTCACCATTAGTCAAATAAGTTGGGATTGTTAAAACTACTATCGGTACAGTTTTGATTAGTTAGATTCTGTTTTGATTAGCCAAAGTTTTTCAGCTCATTATATAAGCTCAGTTGTAAGTTAATTTCATTCATCGGATGAGAAAGATAAGAAATTCTTCATGGCTTCAGTGCCACTAGCCTAGCGGCAGATTTATTTGATATGTATAAATTCTTTTAAAAGGGTCGTGTTTAAGTTGGTTTATCAATTTTGAATTTGACTAGTAACTGGTTGAGTGGTTAGTGAACATCATTTGTCCCTAATTCTAATTGGTAGATAGTAGATATTATTTCCATTTGGATTTCTTAATCTATTATTACTGTTCAAAAATGTTTGTCTGGTGTTGTTAGGAAAAAAATTGATGATATTCCTCCAGAAAGGCGTTATCGACTTCTGCGCTTGGTAGAACCAAGGTAATGATATTCATCCAATATCAGCTTACTATAGTAGCCTACTAAGTTATGTAGAAAATTAGAATCAAAGCACTTGATTCTTGGATATTTTGCATAGCATTTCTCTCTATGATTTTAATAAGGTGGAATTTAGATTTTAGAGTCACTGATGTTTGGGCACTTGTAATGCAGGCTTGTATCAAGAGCTTGGGAGATAGCTGGCACACGATACAGCGATCCCAACTTAGCCAAGAGAAGTGCATCTACATTGTTGTCTAATGATGATGGTGTAACATCTCTTGAATATTATAATTGCCGAACAAGTGGAGGTAGGTCATGTAAATCAAGCCCTTTTATACTGGAAGTTCTAAGGCCATCTCCAACCGATGGCTGGCCAGAGGGCTCGTTTTAGCCCTCTGGCCCTCCAAGATATTAATATTTTAATGAACAGTACAGGGTCATATTTGCCTCCGTCTCCAACCGAGGGCCAGAGGGCCAAACATAATTTATTATTTAAAAACTATAACAACTTAAATTTAAAAACTACAACTTATATTTAAAAACTACAACTAAAATTTAAAAATGACAAATTAAATTTAAAAACTATTGAAAACAACATTAACTTAAATTTAAAAATGTTGTGAGGAATGGTGAATGAATGGTTTAGGTATTGATAGGAAAAAAAATAGAATTTTTGAGAATTAAAAAAAAAGGGCCCAAAAAACCTTAAAAAAAATATTTAAATCCAACGGTAACTAACGCCAGCTAGCCGTTGGATTCAAAATTCTTTTTAAAAATTCCTGTCGGTTATAACCGACAGGAATACATATATTGTATTTAATGTAAATGTATTCCTGTCGGTTATAACCGATAGGATTAAGCGGTTTTCTGGCCAGCCCTCCAGCCCTCTTTGATTCCGTGGGCCCTCTCAGATTCCACAGCCCTCTGGCCTAACCCTCGGTTGGAGACGGTTTTCGGGCTATTTTCGGTCCTCTGACCCTCTGGACCTTTCGGTTGGAGATGGCCTAATGTCCCCATTAGTGCTTTTCAAAAATCACTGTAATTCGTTCGATGGAGTAGTTTATTAGTTTACTCTTTATCAAACTAAAGATGTTAAAAACATGAAATCTTCTAATTGTATGACATTAAAAATCCACCTGCTCATTAAGATGAGCAAATAGCCGATTTCTGATCACATTTGAATGATTATTTGGCATTTCTCAAACTTCCGATTGCGTATTTTAACCTGTTCATTATGTTACCTTGTAAAGAGTTTGACGCTGATCTCTTTAATAGGACCAATGCCCATTTCTTGGATAAACTCTTTCCAGAAGGTAATTCCTCTAATCCTATTGATTTTTGCTTTCTTCTATCTCTTTGTATATGCATGAATTGTTGGGACTGCAAAATTGGATGGTCTGCAAATCTCAGGCAATATTTTCTAGCACAGACGGGAACATTTATGGACGATTTATTGGTAATTTCTTTACCCTCCATGATTTTATTATTGAATTTATTATACATCTATCGAATTGAAAGTTAGCATTAAATTGAAGTTTATGTTGGGGACAGTCCCTTGCTTCTTAATAGTCATGGGGGTTGGCCCGTTTACAGTTCAACTATTAAGGCTGACATTAGAGAATGGTCCAACAACAGATGGGCTGATGTAACAGAAACATTATAGATTTGATTAGGAGGCATCGCAGAGGGAGTGGATTGCTCTGATAGGTTAAAGTTTGGTAAATTGTGTAAGGCAGTGGTGTTAAACACGATTCTTGATGTTTCTTATAGGGCCCCAACATGTGTTTCTTATGTATGGTTTACGTTATGTCTACTCTGTCATTGCATGGTTTGCAATTCCAAAACTAAATGTTGATTTGTTACTACTTATTAAGGTGTTTTTTATACAACTCTGTACAATTATCGTAATGAATCAGGTGGATCATTTTTAACCGGACTTGCAAATTCCTTTAGTCCATTGTACTTCGTGGTGAGACAGCTTAAGGAAGTAATGCCAACTGAACAACCTTGTGATCTAGCGTATGAATTTGGGGATGGACTGTTTGACCTCCAAGAATACCCAGAAGGTTTTCCAAGACCAGGTATATATTTTCCTTATATCCAATGCAGTGCGGTATTATTAGAACAGTTTGTTCGGAATTTAATTGTTTCATGGTAATTGCTCCCATTTTTCCCCCATGGAAAAGCTAAGAAATACGAGAGAAAAACAAATGTGAAGAGATGTTTTGATCTAGTAAGTTAGACAGAGAGGCCGTAAGACGGAGGAGCCCTATACATGTACAATTATACACGTGGTGCATACATAACACACATATTGTATATACCTGACCATTCTAACCTTATCTTTTTCGAATAGACTAACCATTCTTACCGATACGTTGAATATATTACAAGGTACAATATTTATTATTTCGGTTCCCATCACATTCCCACTTCCAGTTCTTGTATCAGCTCTACCTACTTTTAGCAAGCACCGAAACTGCCTTGTCATAGCAACTGCCAGTGAGCTGTTTTTTCCATTAAGGGGATTAGGTATGGTACCGGCTGTTTGCCATTAAATTGCCTGCTTGCTCAAGCCCAGGAGTAGGGCCCTTAATCACCCAAGCTCAAGCTTATTTTCCATATGAGAAGTTTGTTTTGGGTTTGTAATATCTGTATGACATCCATTAATAACAGTAACAAACTATATATAACTGTATGTAATTTCGCAATGTTTTCATTTTGCTGTTTCAGTCAAACATCCATATCCTTTCAACGATCAGGTGGTTGTGTATGTTCGCCATCTGGGGCCAGGCGTTTCAGTTGGGCAAGCATGGCAGGAAGGAAGGAAACTACAACAGGTGCCACAAAAGTTATGCTCCGATATTTTGATGGTGAAAGATTATTCTGCTCATAGAGAAAATCAGTAACTGTTCTCGTGAAGTTAAGAGAAAGGAGAAAGGTTACGCTGTAATCAATTATACCTCGGTAGCTCATGTTGTAAGGCGTTGAGAAAACAAGCACAGAAAGGACAGCGGGTAGGGATCAATATAAAGATCAGTTCCTGTTAGTCAAAGCCAACAGTAAGTGATTCACATTGATTTGAATTTACAAGTAGAGTTTCGATGAATTCAGGTATACGACACCCTTCTGTTGCTCCAACATAAAATGATTCAAGGATTGAATTAAGGCAAATGTTACTTTCAAAGTTAAAAACGGTTGATGCTGGCTGGAAATAGGTGTGATTATATGAAAATTTTACAATGTTGCGGCATATCATGTACACCGGGATTGTTGGCTGTTAGATCTCGGTCACTGGTCTTTGACCAAATATCTAACAACCAAAGGCACCAGTGTATAGAATGCTTCGGAGCATACTAGAAAATCCCGTGATTGTACGTATATTTGTACATTAGGTAGACTGGTAGAGGACATGCAGCACATGAAAACTTTCTACTAAAATGAATACAACACCAACTTAGAGGAATGATCGATGTCGCATGATCTAATTGCGAAGAAGGTTTTAAAGAACATAAGAGCTACAATAATGGACTTTCATTTAACAAAGGATGATGCCTCGAGTTGTAAATTCCTTGTAGCACTTAGCTAAGAAGCATGTGGTTATGTTGATAATCAAATAATCAAATCAATAATCACATGAGAGCAATAAGGCATGTGAAAAATGCACACTAAACGGAAGGACGAGCGGTACTAACCTGTAACTCAGTGTACATCGAAACTCATATGTTACACTGATTTGCACCAAACTACGAGAAAAACTTAATTTACTTGCAACTCAACATATAATTAAACTTGCTCTATTGAATTACAGGTAAGTTTCTCTCGTCTTTTCATGCGCTATGTTGCATGAAAATTCTTTTACCTCACCTATATATTTGTTTTTGTAAAGGATTTGTAACTCGACTAGTAAGAACATTCACTCTTTAACCTAAACTCCCAAGTTCGAAAATCTCTTATTTAATATCGCTTGTATATGAAAACCATATAATTCGTTTTTTCTTTCACAAAAAACAAAACATGTATTGCAATAATTTGTATTGGAATCATGTGTGTTGGTGTGTTGTGATAAGTATGCATATGGCCGAATGGGCTGTCAACTTCTCTCGATCGACATGCACATATGGAGTAAATCAGCAAGAAACATGGGGCGTGGTAGTAGGCCAGAATCTTCCAAAACCAGTAGGCCTCATCTGGTTTTATCCTTCATATATTCATCGATGCTACAAGACACTCTTCTTTAATGGCTCCATGTGTTTGATTCTGTATTTCTCTATTATTTATTTATTTAATTTGTTCACATAAAATTATTTATTTATTTAATTTGTTCACATAAAATTATTTATTTAAACTCATTTGCTAACTGTTTCAGTTTTTATTATTTTGGAATTATTTTCAGTTTTCAAGAAAGGAAAATTTGAAAGCCAAATTTCGAAAAGGATGTGATTTTCACTTTTTTTTTTTTGAACAAATGATATTATCTACACGAAGGGGTGGGGGCGTGAGTTAAGCCTCACAATGGGCTAGCAGTAATATGGTTCAAATTCGACTTTGGCAAGAATCAGACCTAAGCCTCTCACTTACAAATGAAGTAGAATATCATACCGTACTACTAAGTCACATTCACATGCATTTTTTAGCTTCTCACACATCCCTCCTTATTTATAGTTATCAGATTGAATAAATTAAATGCAAAAATCATGATTAAACATGGGTGAGTAAAAGATTAAAATGATGTGTGAAAATTACTTCCTTTTTTTAAACCTCGGAAAAAATGAATTTCCGTTTTTTATTTTCAGTTAAAAAAGAGTAAAAACTAAATAGTAATAAAATCATCAGTTTGTCACCTTTTGTGGAAACTTCATAATTGTCTTCATTGTATTATTGACAAGAGTAAAACGGACCCATTATTCTGCAACTTACAGAGAATGAATCGAATCAAAATCCTCATTTTGTTATTTAGCTTGTTTTACAGGTCCCCCAGCTTTGTCTCCACACTATAAATTGGAAGGGAAGATGACCAAGTCCTCCTCGTAATGGGGAGTGCATGCTACAATGGACGGCTAAGATCAATCTGGACGCATATGCGACTAGTGCTAGTATTTTCCCGTCTTTTTGCTTTTGACACTTTCAATCTTGAACAATCATAGCACACGGATTAAAAAAAGAGTAGATTGTAGCTATGATCCCTTAACTTTAACTCAATTGGAGCAATGATCCCTCAATTAAAAATTCATTACCATTGGTCCCTCAACTCATCAAAACGTGCAGCTATGGTCCCTCAACTAAAAATTCATTACCATTGGTCCCTCAACTTTAATTCAATTGGAGAAATAATCCCTTAACTTTAACCCAATTGACACAATGATCATTCAAACATAACTCGTTTTGACAAAAATTTTGACGTAGTTGACGAAAAGGACCATAATTACACACTTGATGAGTTGAGGGACCCTAATTATATAAATGGTTTTTCCAACATAACTTATTTTGACAAAATTTTGACGAACTTGATGAAAAGGACTATAGTTACACATTTTGATAAGTTGAGGGACCAATGGTAATGGATTTTTAGTTGAGGGACCATTGCTAAAATTTACTCTTAAAAAAATGACATTTTTACTTCAGTAATAGGTAGTAAAGTTTATGATTTGTGAGGATGAAAGGAAAAAGTAGGTTCACATGTTGTTGTATTCAAAAGAAGAAAAAAGAATGTCAATGGAGGAAGGCAAGGAAATCCAAAGCTATCTTTTGACATAAAGGAAACAAAACGTTTGTTTCAACATGAATAGAGGGAAGTTTTAAGTCTTAGGGTTACCCCAATTCTTAAGAGTCGAGGAAAGTTCAAGGTTCATGGGATGAATAGAGGAAAGTTTGAAGCCTTCGGGTTACCCTAATTCTCAAGTGGCAAGGAAAGTTAAAGGTTCTGAATTCGATTCTCTCTAATGTGACAAAAAATTGATTCTTCTTGCAAATTCATTTTCCAACTCTTTCTTTAATTAAGCAATAGAATTAGAGCCCTCCATTTCCTTATAATCTTCCACACAGCATAGAAAAGAATCAAAAGATAAGCATGACACCCCATCAACCTACTTATACATGCATTTATTTGGGGATCTTTTGATGCTTTACTTTAGGATCCCTTTGCCTCTCATCATCATGTAACACAAAATCCTTGGGCAGTTGTAACCCCATAATCTATTTATGATGGGAGGGGTATTTTGGTCATTTTAGCAAAACAAAACATCTGTCAAACTTGGGCAAACAAATGCAAAAGTTGAATTCAAGACGAAAATTTTCTACCATGCTCCGTTGTATCTTTTATACTAGAATTATTTATCATTAGATCTGTAATTAAAAATCCAACAGCTAAAATTTATCGGCAAAAAGTCCAGATATATAGCATACACCAAAGCATAGTAATATTTCGCTTCAAAAGTGTTCAAATATAAATCACAAGAAAATGAATGCATTGGAAGTGGGCGATGAGAGGTCCACACGGCTTCCATGAGGTAGGGCTTCTTTTTCTTTGTGCATCTACTACCACCATCATTCGTCCCTTTATCGCAACAAGGATTGGCACACATCCGCAACCACAAACCCTTTATTATTACTAGTGGCAAGATAGTTAAGACAGATCTGTGGGGTTCAATGTCCATAAACAGGGCATACTTAAAGGCCACCCCCGTTGCCTGCCGACACTATTTTTTGCTCGCCCTTTTTTTCCCAAGAGACAAACTCCTTTTACAAATGGACAGATACAATAGAGTATGGTTGCACCAGAGTTCGATTTTCCTTCCTCTTAAGTTACAGTAGTTTAAAATATCGTTTTTTGGGGAAAAAATTGAGAGAGAGAGAGAGAGGGAGAGAGAGAGAGAGAGAGAGTGCAGTATCAATTCAACTAATGCAATATACAGAGAGTTATACATGTGTAAAATCTGAAAGTTCAAACAATTAACAAACCTATCTGGCTCCTCCAAGAACACTCCACACAGAAGCAGCAATACAAAGGATAAAACTGTAAAAAACCTACATTCTTATATGGAAATAGAACTCACCGATAATTTTCGTATGTCACAAATAAACCAAAAAAAAAATTCAAAAGGACAAAAAAATAGCTAGAAAAGAATCTATATGGGCAATTTTAATGAGAATGAGCTATTTTGCATCCACCTGTTCCAGTCTTGGACACCAAGCATTCTCTTATTCACCCTTTATTTTTAACTTTTACCATGATTTTTTTTACCTCAAATCTCTAGCTCATCTGCTCACCAATTAGGTCAAGACCCACCAGTAAAAATGACACACCTTGGAATAGAAGGAAGTAAAAGTGTACCCCTTGTGCTGATAGGAGGCTCCTAAGTGCAGCAGTAAGCAGTAAGAAAGCCAGAGCTAGCTCTTTCTTGTATATCTTGTTCAGTTTCTTCACAGGAGGAGGTTTCGGAGCAGCTTCTTGATGCTCTTTTAATTTGTTGAGCTCCGAGAGGCCACTATCTGATGTTCCTCGGTAGAGTTGTGGATGAATCATGGCCTTTGTTTCCCTCTCCTCTAATTCTAGCAGGTCCGGCTCCGATGACCGACCTGCCTTCTTGGTGACAACCCATTCGTACGAGCTCCCCAACTTGAACAAACCGGAAACCATAGCGTTGAATTTGGTCACGGACATTGTGTTTTCGAACAGGAGGTAAGGGACAATGAAGGGGAAAGATCTAAGGGAAGGAAGAATGTTCATGAATGACATAAATACAGGCACATAGCAGATAACCCACATGGATAGCTCGGCTTCGGGGACAAACATTGTCAGAGGAAGAATTATGCAGAACAATGTGAAAGAATAAAATGGGAGAATTAACTTCCTAAGAAGAAAGAATAGTAGTATCAAGTTTGCTTTCTTCCAGAACTTCATCTGCAATATGGCATTTAGTAGTGTTATTCTCAGAACGGTCTGATTCAGGGCAATACAATGATCAAAGAGAAGAATCAAATTGCAACATTACCTTAGAACTAATAATTGCTGGAAGGCACAAACGGAAAAGATGCATGGGACCAGAATGCCAACGATGTTGTTGCTTTTTGTAAGCTTCATAAGATTCTGGAAGCTCACAAAGTACCTGAAAAATCAGTTTCTTAAACTTGAGAAATCATTTGACTATATTATTCGCAACATGGAAAATGGCTTCTGATAAGGTAGAAAATAGATAACGAAGAATCCAAATAGTCGGAAACTAAACATAGGATCAGGTAAGGTTACCTTGACATCATTGAGGAATATGAATTTCCAACCACAAAGATGGGCACGAACTGCTATATCCATATCTTCTACTGTTGTACGCTCAAGCCAGCCTCCAGATTCTTCAAGTGCTTTGATTCTCCAAACTCCAGCAGTACCATTGAAACCAAAGAAATTGAGGAAAACCCCATTAACCTGCTGTTCAACCTCAAAGTGGAAGCACAAATTAATGTTCTGGAGGCGTGTCAACAAGTTCTCATCTGTGTTGACAAAAGACCACCTAGCCTGAACTAACCCGAGCTCAGGATTGTCCTACCACATAAGTTAGAATTCCACACAAAAATCAGTCACCTAAAGCAGAAATAGCTAGAAACCATAGAGAAAGAGCTAAATGAGATCTAGCCACCTTAAAATGGGGAACTGTGAGCTTGAGGTAGTCAGGGTTTGGCTGGAAATCGGCATCAAAGATTGCAACAAACTCATAGTCCTTGACATAATCACAATTCATTGCAGACTTGAGATTTCCAGCTTTGTAACCAGTTCTGACCAAACGATGGCGATAGATGATATTGACACCCCTTTGGTTCCACTTGGCTACCTCCCCCTTGATTAACCATTGTATGCTCTCATCATCAGAGTCGTCCAGAACTTGAATCAGCAAGCGTTCTTTCGGCCAATCGAGTTGGCAGACTGCTGAAATAGATTGTTCATATACCTAATAATACATTTTTTGTTACATTCATTGTCACCAACAGAATGAATGATCTATGAAAACTACTAAAACAGTAAAACATCAATTTCTACAGTTATACACATTTTTTATAATCTTTCCAAATTAGTAATTTTATCAAACAATAACCCGAAAAAGAATTGGATTGTTACCTCTCTCTCATTACACATAGGAATTTGAACAAGAACTTTCGGATAATTGCATCCTGGAGCTTCCAAATCGTCTGACTTCAATGGAACTTCAAACTTTGGCTTAATCTTCTTAAACTTGATCCAGAAGCAACCTAAACACAGCAGCATCCGGTCGGCGGACTGGATTAAGAAGAGAGCCACACAGAAGTTAGTCAAACCCTGAATTGCAGGAGCAATGTAGCCGGCCCGGAACTCCAACCACGAAAAGTAAATCGAGTGAAGCCATCCTCTAATCTCCAAACTCTGTGGGATATGCAAATGCCAACCCTTGAAGTGAGCCATCAATTCAAAAGCCAGAAAAGCCAAAGCCATCATTAAGAACACCATAATAACCCTATACAAAATCCTCCCTTTTCCAGATTTCTCAGTCTCCACGGTCCCAAAAATCAATCTTTTTTTAATTGAACCAAGCAATGACCAAACAATGTTTCCAATCCAAGAAACAAAGCCAACAGCTTTGTGGGCTTTTAGAAGCAAAGCCCATGTAAATTGCCTAGCATTCTTCCCTCTGTCCTTATCAACTGGCCTGAAAACTTCATCTGGACCGTTTATCTCCAGCACTGAGTAATTAGGGTTCTCCATTGTTACCACCACTGGATTTCCCTTACTTGTCCTCTCCTTTCCCCACCACCTTGAAAAATTTAGGCTTGGAGCCATTTTTTGCTCTCAAGCTTCAAACTTTTACTTCTGAAGTAGTAAAAAAAACAGAAATCCAACTATGAACAGTAAATCCACAGCAACCAGATCCCAACATTGAAAATCTCAAAAACCCATTTCAGAACTGAGCACATAAAGCAGAACCAGCACTAAAGACTGAAAATTTGGCACAAAATATTGAAACCCAGAAACCAAAAGTGAGAAAACTCACAAACCCATTTGAGGACTGGTACAAAAGAATCGATCACAAACTGCAACAACTTGACAAAAACCAGTTCAAACCAAATGCAGCAATGCAGAAAGGCAGAGAGAGAGAGAGGGAGAGAGAGAGAGACAGACAGAGAGTGTGTGTGAATGGTTTCTCATTGAACACTGACCAACATATGATAAAGCTCCGCAAGCTACCAGAAATGGGAAATTACTTTTGTGGGGAAATGTTTTCTTTTGTTTTTTTTTTAAGAATTTTGTTAAACGTTTAATTCATGTGGGGGCATCAACAGTCGCTTGATTAATCCACTACTATAGAAACAAAACCGAGACCTAATGTCGCCTTTCCACATATTACGCATTGCTGGACTGGAATTAAATAGTTTCTAAAATCAGAAAATAAATACAATAAAGTGATGATGAAGATTATAATGAGACATAATTAAATCCCTCGCTAACTACGTGTTAAGATAATTGACCATAACAATGTATTCAGCTCTTATTGAGTTTCCTTTGATGTGCTTGAGTATATTAGAATATCGATTTTTGAAAAGAAAAAATATTGCACTAAATTTCTCACTCCTTATAAATTTAAGAATGTAGTGTTCTGGAGTGTTGTGTACTCTGAATTTTTAATTGTTAGATCTCAATTATTATATTTGAAAATACAAATTTAACAGTTAAAGCGTTAAAAAACATATAATACTTCAAAATACACTAGAAAATCCATGACAGCCATCTTCTTGTTAAAGAAAGAGAGCACTTTGTTGGTATTGGTGTATGGAATTTGTATTAAGGTTGCAGATAATGAGGAAGATGAACATGTGATTAAAATTATTATAACTTTAATCAGAATATAATCCATTTTATAAGAAAAGGACAAGAAAATGGAATGGCCACAGACAATGCAGATCCCAACTCTTACAATTAACCTCAATCTGTTGGCAAACCCCGCACACTCACACACACTCTCACACATACACGCACACATTGTGTCGGTGGTCTTAAAAAAATACAAGAAAAATCCTTTTAGGTCTTCTTTTTCATGTAAAGCAATAAAAAGATTGTCCATCATGTTCATAAATCACAATCATGAAGTTTGCTCGACAACATTGATTATGTCTAGAAGTAGTAGGAGATTAAGATTTTTTTCTATGCAAGTTATATGTTTTAAATTAGAGTCGGTTTATCAGCAAAACTAATAACGCTAAGTCGCACTTTGAATTATGTTTTTATACTCTTAATTTACATATCTCTTAAAATTTTCCTCATCACGAAAAAAAATGAAAAAAAAGGAAGAAGCCAAAAATTTATTTGACTCTCTATAGTTTAACATGTTGTGTCTGAAATCACACTGTAGTGGAGATGTTAGTATACTGGATAATAATATTTTTTTATTTCACTAGTTTATTAAAAAAAGTATATTAATATACTTTGAATTAGGAAGACTTCATTGCATTTTTGTCTTAAGTTTCAGTTTGTATTGGACGGCTATGTTTGAGTGCATACTTTTTGTTCTTTGTCTCTCTTCTCATGCAACTAGAGAAAGAAAATGCAATGGTTAAGTTGTATAACCAGTACTAGTTTCTTCCCATTTCTAAATTGTATTGATGTTCTTTAGGTTGCTACTATAATCTCAATTTTTCATTTTGATTATTGTTAATTAACAAACGATGAAATGTTTATAAAGATTTTTTTTTAATTGCGCCGGTAATATTGGTTTATCATACTCATCATCATAAGTATATGTACCATGCTCATATTTATATGAGTCGAACCTCTCCAACCGAGTGGAGACAATCTCCAATGAACTAACAGCTAGTTGATTATTGTAGGGGTGGTTTGGTATGGGATCCCGAAGCCTAAACTGAAAATTTTGGGATGGGAATTTGAAGATCAATTTCGAACCAAAATTTCAGTATTCCCAATTTTCGAAGTAGTCGAAATATTTTCGATATTTCGGGATTAAATTTTGGGTTTTTAGGCTAAAATTAGAGATTTTTGGACTGAGGGCAAAAATTTGGGCTTTTGGCCTTAAATTTTGTTGCTTAATTTCATATTTATTAAAATTTAAGCTTTTTATCTCATACTAATTGAAATAACAATTCATTCATACCAAGTTAAATTGACGTTCCAAAGTTTCAAACTACTTAATTTCATGCTTCTATTTCTAATATAGTCTACTATCAAACTACTTAAATTAAACATGCATGCAACCAAAATAAATAAATATTTATATATATATATATATTTATTTTTTTTTCGGTTTGGAATTCCTGAACCATTGAATATGTAATCCTGATTTTTGTACAAAAGTTCTGGATCAATTCAATATGGAGTCCAGAAAATTTCGGTATTATTGATTTGAGAATTTTTGGTATGAGATCAGAATTTTTTTTGTTTGGTTTGGAATTTTCGGAAAAAGTTGTCAGCCCTAGATTATTGTAGTTTTACATTTTACTCAATTGAGAGAAAATTATCCTTCAATAAATGCAGTAATGCAAATGGTATTATCTTCTTTATTGACCTTTCTTAAAACTAATTATCTTCTTTATTGACCTTTCTTAAAATTAATTATCTTCTTTATTGACCTTTCTTGTATGACTTTGGAGACATTAACTTGTATTATAATTTTTCTCTTTTTATATGTTTTTTAAGGTTTATAGTCAAAATAATTTCTAAGGTTGACATAACTCCCCACTGTGGTTCCTAAGATTTTGAATTAATAGAAGTGGTTTATCCACCATCAATCATTTTGGTCATACCGTAAAAAATTAATTTAAATAAGGACCAAAATGACAAAAAATACCCTCAAATTAATGAATAATAGGCCAAAATGATTTGACAAAAATTGAGGGTACTTTTGTCATTTTATCCTTATTTAATAGAGATCACGAAATGACCAAAACGACTGATGGTGGACAAACTCAGGGCTCACTTCTATCGATTTCAAATCTTAGAGACCAAAGTGAAGAATTTTGTCAATTTCAGGGACCATTTTGACTTAAAAATCTTTTTTTAATTTTTTCGTTTTGATGAATAAATCAAGCTATATTTTGAACTCACCTGTAAAGACAATGCAATTCATGTGGGCAAATTTGTAATTTAAAACTAGAGTCATCATTCCTTTGAGTTGGTGCACTGCTGTTGGCAAATCAACATTTCGTTGAACCACACAAGAACTTTGACAACAAATGTGATAAGTACCATATGGAGAACGATCAAGATTTACGAGACAATCACCTGAATAATTTTTACAACATATTGGACACGAATCAAGCACCTTTTAAGAAATATTGGTAAGGTGTAGGGGTGAATTTTTTTGCCATAAATCGATTTACTGACCGAATCATACCAGTCGGTTCATAATGGTATGGTATAGTTTTGGCATTTTTTCATAATCGGTTGATATTATAACCGACAATTAATGGTATGACTTTGGTATTGGATTTTGTATACCGTCGGTATGCCATACCTACAAATATATATATATATATATATATATATAATTTTTTTTTCTATTTAGATATTTTATGTGTTTTTTACATGTTAACTGGAAACATGTAAGTATTGCTAATTTGTTTTCTAATTCTAATTATAGTACTTCAATCTAATGTTTATTGATATTTTTAATTTATTATTCAATATTACTTCTTATTCTAATCACTAGCAGAGAGTACACACTTTGTGTGTGTGTGAACAATTTCTCTTAATAAGTGCATTTTTTTTAATATTACATAATTACTGTTTTGTCCTCCTTATGTAAATATTGTGTATTAAAAGTGAGGGTAAAATTGAAAAAATATGATTGTCATTATCTCAAAAAAGAGGGTATAATAGGAAAAATAGGGATATGATTGTCATTTTGTCAAAAGGTACAAAATTATTATTTTGCCCTCATTTTGTCAATAGTGTGTATCAAAAGTGAGGGCAACATAGGAAAAAAGTTGACAATGAGGGTTTTCTTAATAATAGTGTAGATGCATTTTTATGTAACATTTGAATTGAAATAGTTGCTGGTTCTACATCTCAAGCAGGAACATCAATTCCAAGTGCTTCGAATAATTGATTCATGGAAGATTTCACATGCATTGGTTGCTGCTACTTCAATGATGTTGCATTATCAAAACAAGTTATTTGTTTTGGAATTATAATAAGGGAATCTTATAACCAGAACCATATTTTTGAATTTTAAGTTTTTTGTTTATGCATTAGTTGCTACAATTGAATTTAGACAATTATATTAGTTAGACTTTTGAGTTTGTGAACTTATAACTATTTGAATTATGTTTGTTGACATTGTTCTTGGCTTATTAAGTTTTGATTTGATTTTCATTTTAATTTGTTAAGTCATGATTATGTTGGCTTATCATCAATTGAAAAATTGTAGCAGCAACTTCTTTTTCTCTTTACTTTGTTGATCATGGGTTGGTGCATGGTCATGAGCTATTGTTTTTGTAGATTATTTGAAAACCATCAGTTGTGCCATCTACCAATCGAACCAGCCAATAATTTTGGCTGAACCGATTTTTTGCAACCGCAAAAAGATAGGTTGGCTAAAGGTTACTGATTTTCGGTAATTGTGTATATGTAGCTGGCATGTGGCAAAAGAAATTTGGCACGTTTAGCCAACCGAACCCAACCCTAGTAAGGTGTTGGACGCCGATAATGCTACCTCACTAAAACCTTGCTAGGAAAAACCCAATGGGATAAAATTATAGTCGAAGAGAAATGAGCACATCACTTATATATTTTTGTTGCAGCATATAGTTGAGACTCCCCCTAATGAATAGCTTCGCTGGATAAGTGCCTATCCCTAATGATAGTAAGCCCTCATTCGACTGGCCATCTTTGTCAAGTTTGAAGTAATGTGACTTTTGTTTTCAAGAAATTGAACTTAGGTAGAACTTGATCCTAAGAAGCGCATGAGTTTTTTGTATACCTGTAAAGGTTAGAGAAATCCTAAAAGAAAAAATATACTTCAAAATATACAAGCTGAAGAAAAAATAAACACTTCACTAAGTCTCATGGCGAATATAAGCCATGTATAAAAATAGCCTCATAAGGCTTTCAATATTACTATACAATTATGTGAATTCTTTAACAGTATATTGCATCAATGTAAATTTAGTTTGAACTAACAAAAGTACTCATTGATGCAATTTATACCAAACTTATATAGAGTACAATGTATTGGTACCAACTACTGAGTACATACTTTGAGCTTTAGGAT